ATCTCCTAAAAGTCACTGTATACATCAACTGTAACAATTCATTGGCATTTTCACAGGACCTGTGATCGTAGCAAAGTAACTTGGTCGTTTTGAGTGATACAATGAATGAAGGCATCAGTTAAGTGTTTTCGAGCTAGTCAAGGGTTTGATGTTTACGAGAATTATTTTGTATTTCCACCCCATCAGAGGTAAGAACTGTCTAGAATTTTGAGGTTTGTTCATGCAAAAGGGAGAGAGAACAAATATATTCATTTCACTTAGGTCGATTGACATCGGTTCACAATACGGTGTTTCCCTCCGAAAGCATGGGCAAAGCCTTTCGCATCCACACCTTTTCCTATCAAACTTTAACCAAAACCAACAGTCCTTTAGCCCTGACCCGTGATCTTTTAGCCAAAACCCGAAATGCTTTAGACAAAACGAACTATCCTTTAGCCTTGACCCACATTCATTTAGCCAAAATCCCAAATGCTTTAGCCAAGACCCGTAGTTCTTTAGCCTCGACGCGCAAATTTTAGTCACATCGCAGTGGGTCAGTCAGATCAAATAGTATCGGAATATTTTGAATTTATCGGATTTTGAAAATTTATTTTCTGCAAATGCTGATGTTGCAAAGCTTGGTTAAGAAATAAGGTATGGTGATCGCAGATTGCACCACATATTGACTAGAGAAGGTATAATCGATGTGCCCGTATCGTCAAACCACTTGACACATCTCGTACAGCTTCATTGTTCCGTATAACATGCAATCGGTAAATTGCTTTGCATTCACAAGCCTTGAACTGAATAAAAAAGTGATACCACAAAAAAGTAAATGCTTACTGTTGCGTATATCCACTTAAAGGGAACTCCGCTCTTCAGATGTGATACATTAACAGGTGGGGGATAATAAACCCTGTTCACAAAAGACAACCGGTTTAGCACACCGTTTTCCATAAAGGTTTAGAAGAAATCCGTAATTCTTTTAGCCTCGACCGTGATAACGATGTCAAATGCTGCAGCGTTAATAAACTGATGATAGTAATGGGGTGTACTTTTGTGGACGGTGTTTATTATCCTCGATAGGTTTATTTATCCAATTCTCATGAACAGAGTTTACTTGTGAATGCAAACAATGTATTGTTTGTGTTACACGTGAGATTTTCACCCATAAAAGTATGAAAAGTCTTACCAGGAGACTGGCTCATATAGATTCCGTTAGGGTCCCTGGTGGGGGACCCAGAGATCATGTTCACCGATGAATAGAGACACAGGGATATGGCTGGGTGTCGCAACCAGTGGCGTCCATGCATCTACTCATTATTCTTGTAACTTCGGTCTATGTAAATGCGTTATCTTCCGCTTGAATCTGCTCTCAACATTCAAATCATCATTCTGCTGTTTTATCCAATGGGCAACCAAAAGACATCAACCAAAACCGGCTCACGAAAGTGCATGGTTAATGGTTGGAAGGACTGAACTGATAATTTTTGATCTGGCTCGCCTACTGCGTCGAAGCTAAAGGACTACGGGTCATGGTTAAAAGAAATGTGGGTTTTGGTTAATGCTTGATGGGAAAAGGTGAAGTAATCACCATTTTGTGAGGGACCATAGAATAAAACGCATTGTTGAAGACTTCATTTTATCTATCGTTCGGATAGTCTAGGAGAACTTAATACTTAGGCCTGGAACAAAACCGAAAGGGGTATTTCACAGCTAACTGGTGAAATCCAAGGAGACTTTGATGATTAAGGTGAAAGTATTTTTTATCATTTTCAATGTCTTCAGAGACTAATCAGTGTCGAAGAGTTACTTGCTCATGCTTCCCAGATAACATATCAAGTTCAAGTAGTCAATGCTGTTAACTACAAAACAAATTCATGCTCGCAACAATGGTAAATTTTAAAAATGTCAGTGATACTTGCATAATGCTTTCAATATTTTTTCGTCCGCCTGTCACCCGTGGTGCCATGCCAGTTATCGGTAAGCTTTGTGTGTGACTGTAGAGTTTGATGATTTGAAAAATATAAAAGTGAAATTCACGTCTTATCTGTGAGAATACAACCGAATACTCACTGGATCGCTGGATTCGAGAACGCTAAAGAGCTGGAGTGATTTTCAATCTGGAGTCATATCTTTTTATTACTTACAGTGATTTTTTTATTAGACACCTAAGTGTGATGAATAGCAGACGGGGCGAACCCCATAGTCACGAGGATTTGCTGCCCGGTGGTGGAAACCGGTAGCCTAAGCCCCGAGACTTGGAGTGGCGAACCACATAAGGCCCTGATAGTTAAAGAGACAAACCCTTTAGTGGAACGTTCGGATGAGAGCCAATTTTCTTGTTTTTAAAAAGACTAGAATTATAAGTGGTTGATACTACTGAAGTGAGGAGGATATTCCACAATTTCACAGTCCCGGAGAAAATAGGACTGGAAGGACTGGAGGTCGACATCTAGAGATAGGAACCTTATAAGAGTGATCACCTGTCTGAGAACCAGATAGACGAGAAAAGGACAAAAAGATGAGAACAGCTGAAGCGAGTTCGGAAGAAAAGAGTTAGAAATGGTATCGGTAGAAAAGAGAAAAGAAAGCAACTGCAGATTTGACTTTCGGGTGGAAAAGTGTCGGTAGGACGGAGGGAGGGAGAAGGATTGGAGAGGAAGGTGTTCGAAGTCCAGGAGTTAATAAGCCTATCAATTAGTGCTAACGGTAAGGCAACCTGAGGAAATAAATGAATCACGAAAGCAGTATGCAATGTTAGTGGATTTATCGATCGCTACCGAAACCCACAAGCCTCAATATGTTACGGAATCGGTCTGCAGTAGACATCTTGTACCCCCCCCCCATGTTTTTTAATTCTATGCTTATAAAAATGTCCTTTTGAATTGTAATGAAACTCTACTGGGGGGTTGTGCTTTGCGGGGTCTGTTCATAAATACCTGGCCAAATAATGTTGACTTTCACCGTACTGCTGGTTTTTGAACCATTTTGGGGATACGGTTCGCCTTTTGTTTTATTGACACCTCTTTTTTATTACACACGAGTTCCAACACTGATGATGGATGTGCACCACTGAAATATCCCAACCGTTATAAACTGGTCTTACGTTGCTTGTACGACTCTTCAGTGATAAGAGTTACGTTGACTCTGAATAAGGGATTCACATTTTACCAAATCACGTGATATTTGCGGGCAACATTAGTAACTTAAATCGTCTCATTAAACCGCTATCATGTATTTCAAAGAATAAAATAGTGTATCGAGTAAGACTGTGTCATATATCACAACTGGGGGAAGAAAGCAACAATATCCCTTTTCCGGTTGTGACGATAACCAGAATGGGTGAGTCATAAAAGGGGGTAGTAAAACGGACTTATTAGTTTAAAATTACTTCGCGACTCGTTTGTGGTGTGAATGTCTGTATTTGTGAACGGATATTCTCGCTGCTTCCTGCGTAGTACACCGTGTTCGGTCAGGTTAGATTGTTATTTTTTCTGCTTAGTGGCTGGACACCCTAGCAGTACTCGTCCATCAAACCCCAGTGCATATGCATTACGAGTTTGGCAGCGATCAGTAAAACTTCACTTCTCTGTATTTCGCTAATGATGATTATTTGCACGTAGGGTGAAACACCCTAACCCTGTGCACTATCTCACCTAGCTCATTAATGTGTGTGAGTGGATTATGCATGTATTTGACTCTGTGACTCCAGTATGCAATCAGCTCAAATGATGCAAGTGATTGCGTTGTGTCAGGTACCTGCTCGTGCTACCAATATACATCGGCCTATAGGAACAAGAACAAGTTAAAAAGAAATGCATACGAATTGAGGTCACAGAAACAAGAACATTTCTTTTGAGTTAAAATGTCTTTTTCCTTTATTGAATATACAAATGTACAGTCAACTCTCAGGAAGGGGGCCGCGGCCTGATTGTAGCGTAAACCTGCACCAAATATTGCACATTTCCCCTTGTAGGTTGTTCCCCATGTGACCGATACGATAATGCAATGGGTGGCAGATGTGGCTCGAGTGCCTGTGGATGACACAGGCTCTTCTCCAGAAGTTTGCATCATTGAGCTAGGTGGTACGATTGGGGACATTGAGTCGATGCCTTTCGTTGAAGCTTTTCGACAAATGCTATTCCGTGTGGGCAGCTCAAATTTTTGTTGCGTACACGTAAGTCTTGTACCGCAGCTATCCACCGTTGGGGAGCCGAAGACAAAACCAACTCAAGTAAGTGAAGCAGTGAAGTAGTATCTTCTTTATGAACTTTTTGGTTAAATACTGTGTACTAGACTGGGAATTGTGCATAATTTTTAACACTAGCGACCCTGCATTTCTGCAGTACGTTTCGATCAACCATCTGGTTTCTCTGTGAATAAGAAAGCGCTAATAATAACAGTGTTTCGGTGCAGCCGTTCTTAAGCACGTACAACCACTTTTATGAGAAAGAAAAATATGTGAGGTCAAACAGAACGGGAGATGGTGGGTCTTACCTGTTGTAATGAATAAAAAACCACTCCGAATAGGCGTGACGCTCGGATTACGTAATCAAATTTGACACTGTTAGTTACTCCAGTCGTCTTTTGTTTTTCATATAAATGTGGTTTTTGCAAGCTTGTAAAGGAATTCATCGAAAACATCAGATCGTCGGTACTGAATGTGCTTCATCAATCAGTATGCGCATATTCCGTGATTCGAGCGAAAGTAAACAAATGCTTGAATGTTGTGAAGGTAAACCGTGTCACAATATGAGAAAACACGATACTCTCCAGGTGGAAGTAGACCTACTGCTAACCATACTCTCAACTCTATCAACTTATATATCTAGCCAGTGATCGATCAGTGAGTGACCCCAGAGTCACCAACCGAGAAACCTAAAATAACCCGTCCGATCACGTGCAGTGATCGAATTATTTATTGCTCTCAGTCAAAGTGGCCTTATTGTCATTAACTATATCCTCAACCACCACCTGCCGAGGCGACATGCGTAACAATTTCCATGATATCATAATCTATTTGTATCGTGTTTTTGTAAGCTTATATGCTTACATTTCAATTGAAAATGTGCATTTTTCTTCACACCGAATAACATGTTAAGTTAGAAAACAAAACGTGAAAAACGTCGCTGGAGTTTGGTTTGTGTACATAAATTCTGACATAATTCATTAAAGACGTGCTACTTGTTGGTTAAGAGTCAGACCAGGTAGGTCACAGGGGAGTTCTCATGAATACTATCAAGAGGGGATAGATGCCGGATGAAGGAGCGTGTGGACGGATAAGAACGACAAGAGGACAGATCAAGATGCAGTGAGTTAACGGGGTCTTCTAGGCTCTTATTGGCATACGTGATACAAGAGTTGGTGAGACTAAGATCATCTATACACGACTGCTTATCACCAAACCGCGAACAGTGGTTCTGAGGTTTTGTTTTAAGAGGCCGGAAAACTACGGGGGAGCGATAGAGTAGAAGTAGGAAGATGCATTACTAAAAGAAAATGAACAAAACTGACTGTGGGGTTCGGAATTCCCTGAGTTTCCGTAGCTGACTGGAAGGTCGTATCAGTTTCCCCATACAATTGTGAATGTGTATAGACCACCGGAGATTACTGTCGATGATGAATGACACCTAAGCACTTGACAGAGGTCGCTCTAGACAGCGGGCTGCAATTAAGGGGAGCAGATTCCATTGGAAATATAGAGCGTGAAAGACTGAACATGCACTGTAGAGACTTGGATGTGTTAGGACTGAGACTAGTTTGAGTGGGATACTGTGGGATTCAAGATAGATTTTCTGTGAACAGAATTCCAAAAAAGAGGAAATCTTTTTGACATCGTTGGGGACTGAGGGACCACCAATGAAAGCAGAAAAGAAATATGTATATAATACAGCACTTTAAAGCGCACTGGAATGATCAAGGGAAGAGTTAGATATACTCCTGCCCAATTTGTTGTATTATACCCTTTCTGTTGAATAATCAGAAAGCTATGAGAACAGCTGCATAGAAGTGCCAAAAGACTCATGTTGGAAACGAAGAGTGATCGAGGAACGGAATTAGACCAATAGTTTAGAAAAAACAATAAACATTCTTGGCTGAATTGTTCAGTGACTTACTGACAAAGTGGATTCGAGTGGTCACGTCATCCAGTATAGGTCTGTTGGGTTTATATACAAACTGCAGGGGGGCATGGGAAATTGTGGTAATCGACCGCAAGCGACTTGGGATGACTTTTTCATTCAACTTTAAAGCTGCGGAGGTCAGCGCGATAGGATGAAGAAGACTACATTCAGATATGTTATATCGGCCTTGAATAAAGCGAATTAGTGCTTTACAACTGGTTCGTGGCGGGATTTATAGGCTCTTTCTTTGTTCCTTTCTTTCCTTTCTTTNTACATTTGTAGACAAACAGTGTTTTTTGGGGTAACTCAAGTGAAAGATAGATTTCGTCAGTTGAGTAAAAAGGATGATAAATTTAAAAAGCGATGGACAAGAATCAAACCAAGACTGAACAATCGCTATAGAACGGTTGAGAAGCTATGGTAGGTGGAGACTTCCGTAGATAAAACTCAGTCTGGTTATAACGTATGTTTGTTTTCAAGGCAGCGTGAAAGTGTACCTTTGGGCTAATAAAAAACAGTGTTCACTGGTAGAAACTGGTGCCATCAATTTGCGAAACAGAATAAGTTGGGGTGGTTCGTTATCAATTTGTCCAGCACTGAACTACCTCTGGTAGGAGAATGAGACAAGTCAGATAATCGAAAGGAAGCGGAGAGAAAATGGTTGCCTGATTGAAGTCATGAACAAGTGGGGAAAGATTTTCATCTAGTAGTGAAACTAAAATCGAGGAAAGCGGAGATTTCGGTTTAAGAGCCGGAGGGAGATATATACACAGTAGTAATGAATGTATTTTTGTCACGGGAGAATATGGGATGGCAACGAACGGATAAATATTTAATGCGTTTTTCAAAATGGTTAAATATCCAAATGCGATGGAAATGTTTGTGTTAACCAACAAAGAGCACTAGGTAGCTGTTTTGTCCCGTTTGGGACTCGTCAACAGTGTGTACTTTTGTGTCCTTTTTGTCCTCCTCTCCTCGAATGGGCTAATCCAAGCTTGATATTCTAAATAGTTAAATAACCCTTCTGACTTGCCGCATCAGGAGACAATGATGTAGATTACCATGCCCCATCCACTCTCTTTCCTACTTTGCTCTCCATCCTGTCGGTACCTACCGAAGCCATCTATTTGCACGAGCGCGTCCTTAATCTTTTAATTCAACCAGTTTTCTTTTACACGTGTTAAAGTTGATAAGTATGTCAGTAAAATTCGAGATCTTAGCGAAGAACGAGCGAACGTTCGTGTTGACCAATGAGGGCACATTCATCTTGGTAGGAAGGGTGAAAGTGAGTGCCATCTGCTAGCTGACCTGCCTGTTTTTAATCTAACCACATTTTTGAGTCTCACTAAGCATGTGATTTGTGAGAAGCATAGAATTCACAATTTTCAATCGGAGCATGTCCTGACGAGAATAAGTATAGATACTGAGCATGCTTTGCATCGAGATAGTGAGAAATCTAACGTGATAACGACCATGAGAGTGTAACTCAGCCAATCAAAGGGAGCTACAATATCTGATTAAGATCTCTACCGTCTTACCGACTAATCTCAGCATGGTTTGTGCGGTTATCCGATCACATTCGTCCAACGCGCCATAGGCAGTGGTGTTCGAATATCGAGAGCCTGTCCTTCTCTTCTGTCTGTACTGATTATATCTCTGCAACATGCAGTGTGACTGACGGTAGTTCTGATTATGATACATTTCATCCTTCTTAGAAAGACGGATTTCCTTGCGATACTATAGATATTCGATCGAATTTTGACGTATTGTATATCACACACGTTTGAATGCACACTATGATGTGATTGACGGCTTGCTTTCCT